AAGAATAGCTAAGAGCATTGTTATTATTTGGCCTTAGATTTAAGAATAATTTAAGGGCACTGTCAGAATAATATCTGAATTGAATAAAATGTGTTGATATGAACTGAACATTATCAAAACTGTGAATGTCTGAAATGAACATTGTGTGCATGATATCAAATGATTTGATTATGAATTTAGATTCAGTTTATATGGATGTTCGACGCATTAGATATGCTTACTCAGCTTTACCGCTGAGCGTGTAGTATGTTTTATTTGCTACACGCAGGTAAGCAGAAAGCACAATGTGATCCTGGCGGCAGATGGGGCGAGATTGTCGGGATGGATGTGACAAGTTTTGAAACAATTTATGATATGTCAATATTAAAATCGCTTCCGCAATATTGTTGAATACTCCGTACTGGATATGTTATGAAAAATATTATTGAGATTAATAAAGTGTGTTTGAAAAGTTTTAAATTTTTACGATTACCAAGTTAAATACTTTAGTCCGAATGGGGATGCAGACCTGGACGGATTAGGGTGTTACACCCTCTACCTCTACTTAGGGGTTACTCAAATGGCTGTTAGCTCGGTCTTGATGAGGGATGATGGGGTCCAGAGGCCCATCTATTATGTAAGCAAGGCCTTAAATGGGGCAGAAAGTAGGTACACTCCTACGGAGAAGGCAGGGTACGCACTTTTCATAACAGCGAAGGAACTCACGTCGTACTTCCAAGCCCATCCCATTGTCGTATTGTCTGACCTACCATTGGGCACGGTCATGAGGGATTCCACTTCATCGGGAAGGATGATCAAATGGGCCATGATGCTTACCCAATTCAACATTGAATATCGTCCGAGGACGGCAATAAAAGGGCAGGTTGTGGCTGAATTTCTTGTGGAGATGACGGGTCACCAGGAAGAAGAACCGGCTAGGGCCATCACCGAACCTTGGTGGTCCATGTCGGTAGATGGAGCCTCTAGACCGAAAGGTTACGGGGGAGGCGTAGTATTCACAACTCCAGAAGGGTTCAAATTATATCATGCCTTGATCTTTAATTTCAAGCTCACAAACAATGAAGCGGAGTATGAAGCATTGATAGGGGGTCTGAGACTGGCCAAAACCCTACAAATCACATGCCTCAGAATCAAATCCGATTCAAGCTTGGTGGTAGGCCACATCAATGGCAACATGGAGGCCAAGGGAGAGAAGATGCAAAAGTACAGGGGCTTGGCAAAGGCACTATTGAAGGACTTGGTTGAATATGTGATGGAACAAATCCCTAGGGGGGAGAACACCGATGCTGACTTACTATCAAAATTGACGCAAGCAGCCCCGGAACATGTCTCAAAATTGGCCAGGATTGAGATGCTAGAGAAGGCTAGCATTGAAGGGCTTTCTGTTAGCCTGATTGAGGAAGATGGACAACCCAATCTAGGCCTGGTGTTACCAGATGATATTTGGATGGATGACTTGGTCAAGTATTACATGACCGGGAAATTCCCTGAGGATGAGGAAAGGGTAAGAAAAGTAAAGTTAGGGGCTCCATGATTCCAAATGCTAGATGGAAGGCTATACAAAAAGGCATTTGGCGGTCCGCTGCTGAGATGCTTGACCAGGGCGGAGGCGGAAAGAGTGATCGCCGAAGTTCATGAGGGTGTCTGTGCAGCCCATCAAATGTCCAGGACACTCGCACAAAGGATCATCTTGCTAGGTTACTTCTGGCCTGCAATGAACCAAGATTGTGAGAAATATGTACAAGGGTGCAAAACTTGCCAGGTATTCTACAAATTTCCGGGAAGGCCTGCAACATACTACAAATTTCTCAGCGCCAGATGCTAATCCCGATTTAATTCCCAATCAGTGTTGGGTAGGATAAAGTATTCCCGATCAGTGCAGGTCAGAAATTTTTTAATTCAAACATGAAGGCCCCGTTTAGCATCAGCGTCAGAGATTAGCGTTAGCGTTTTGAAAAAGCTATCCGACGGTAGCCTTTAGCGTTAGCGTTTTCAGAATTAATCTGCACCATTAAAATTTTATCCAAAACGCTAACTAAATTTCATTTCCAAACGGTAGATGCAGTACCGTTCGAAAAACAGAAATCTACCCCCCTAGCTTCCCAATCCAAACCAAAAGAGAGAGAGAAGGAACCCAGCCAAGACCGAAAGAGGAGGAGAAGAAGCACCAGATCCATCCAAACAATCTATTCAAACGGTAGATAGCCTACCGTTTGAAACTCGCCGGCCTCCGCTCGTCGGAGATCTGCCACCACTCGCCGGTCGCCGCCGCTCGTCGGAGATCCACTCGCAAAAATATGCGACTGGTTCTTCTCTTAAAGTAAACATTCTATTATTTCTACAATTTTAAATCTATAGAATTTTGTTATTATATCTTTAATTTTATATTCTATGTATATTATACTTAAATTGTTACTCCGTATTTCAATAGTTCCATGTTGTAGATGTAGAAATTGTTGTGTATTTTTATATGAAAAATTAAATTGATTAAATATGCGTAATGATATATTAAATTTGTTTATAATGTATTAATATCTTTGGGATATAATTTCAATTTTAAGATAATCATACATGTTTAAACAAAAAGAAAATATACCGTTAGATATAATTTCATTTTTAAGATAATCATATATGTTGTAGAAAAATGGATTTGGAAAGAACAAAAGTCCATCCAGGACCGATTGAGAGAGACGTACTAGTTTTAGGAGTCGGTGAACATCGTTGTGATAAGGTGTGGCAAGATCGGGGCTTCGCGGACATCCCGTTGAAGTGCGTTAAGTTTTTCGGTAGCTTGAATGAAGGGTTGGGGGTGGATCGTCATGAATCGGTTATTGAGATTTTGCAAGATTATGGGTTTTATGGGGTCGAAAGAATCTCAAAGTTACAAATTGACCTTAGTCGAGAGGTGGCGGCCCGAGACCCATGCCTTTCATCTTCCTTTTGGTGAGGTTGGGATCACACTACAGGATGCGGAAGTCCATCTTGGTCTCCCCGTGGATGGCACTCCAGTGATTGGTTCGGTCGAAAGGTCAAAAGATTATTGGGTGTAAATGTGTGAGGATTTGATGGGGTTTAGGCCTGATTTGGAGGATGTGAGCAAGACACAGATCAAAATGAATGCGATTAGACTCATAAGAGTGGATAACCATAGCACTGATCTGGACTTTATGCATCATGCCCGGGCTCTCATGCTGAAGATTATGGGAGGAGCTTTGTTTACGAGCACAACGGGTAATAAGGTGAACCTATGCTTGTTGGAGTTGCTCGTGGGCACGGCCCAGAAGGTTCGTAGCCGGGCCATAGGCGCATCCGTATTGGCATTCCGATTAGTCCAGACGTGCAACGTTTGGTACGTATTATACTCTCTTACTTACTCAAAGTCTTATTTATAATATTTATATATTTTACTCTATGTTGCAGCTGTTTGGTATCTTGGACATTGCTCGGCATAAAGATATTGATAATCTTGATGAAGTTGTGGATCCATACGCACTTGTGCATGCCGTGCACGAGCGGGCTGTAGAGACCATCCGAGAAGCTGGGTATGGCCAGATGCTTTCTCACCCAGTCCAGGCTCTAGCATATGAGCCGGTGGTAATGCCTCGAAGACCTGATAGACGTCGAGACACACCAATGCGTGGCAGACCTCCTCGAAGGCAACGCCAAGAAAGACAATCAGATGAGGAGATAGAGGATGATGATCTGGACACATACATTTCCGACCATACCCCACACGTCCCCCAGGCTTCACCATCACTATATACACCTGCTATCCTACAACCACCATTCGGGGATGTGGCGTCCTTTTCACACGCTCCACCACCCAGAGTTCCGTCAGATACCCTATTTGAAGACTATTTTCGCAATTGACTCAAGATAATGAGATACAAGATCCTCTTGAGCAAAGTACACCATTGGTTCATCATCGGCGACCACGACAAATACGCGATAGGCGGTGCGGTACGGGAAGTCACTTCATAGTTCCAGGACATTCACTCGACAATGACTACGACTCGTAGACATTTTTTAGATTATCATTTTAGTAATTATGTTAGATTTTAAAAATAATAATTTTTGTTTTACATTGAATACTTTTTCACTTTATTATTATTTGCTTCCTCTGTCCCTGAGTATTTTTGTCCACTTTTTATTTTTTTCAGTCAAAATTGGTAAACTTTGACTTCAAATCAAATAAAAATGATTAGATAGTGATACAAAAAGAGTTTTATTATGTTTATTATATCAAATATCTTCAAAATATTAGTTTATTTAATTAAAATATAATATATATTTTATTTAATTATAGGTCAAAGGTTGAAAATAATTGACCGAAAAAAATAAAACTGGACAAATACTCAGAGACAGGGGTAGTAAATAATTTTCTACACATAGTGTGCACCATTTTAGATCTAAATCTCTTTATTCTTAAAAAAATATATTTCAATTTATATGTGAATGAATTTTAAAATAATAATTTACAATTTTTAAAAACAACAATAATGGATATAAGAATTTTGCATTTTTCAAAATTTCAATGGTTCAAAAGGTAGATTGACTACCGTTTCAAAAACAAATACTCCCTCCGTCAACAAATAAAGTTTTCATTGCGCGTTACGATGTTTGACTGAAATTATTTTCAAATTATTTTATATGAAAAATGGTATGGAATTAAAAAATAAAAATTACATATTTAAAAACTACATGAAAAGATCTACAAAACTATATTATTTTATCAAATAAGACACAAAAATAGGCCAACAAAGTGAATAAAGTTTGACCATGTGAATAGTGAACGAGAACTTTATTATTGGACGGAGGGAGTATTTCAACCGGTACTTCAAGTACCGTCTGAACACTTGTCAGAGCTGCCACCCTTTGTCAGAAACCACTTTCACTAATTGGGAACGATTTTTTTAAAATTGCATTGATAGGGAAATCACCCGCTAATCCAGGCACACGTCCCACTGGCCGACTAGACTCATATCAGGTCTATAAATATAGGGCTTTGGCTCTTCCTTCTTCATCAACTCAATTCGGGTCTTTAAGGCCTGGTTCACCATTCTCTCTCTAGATTTCATCAGTTTTTAGTAATATCCTGAGTATAGATTGTTTCGATTGTCCCAAAGTGGCCCCGACTCTTATCTGTGTTCTAAGTTTTATTCCTTAAAATTTTAATAAAATATTCTTTTTTCCATGTACGGTTAGTATATAGTATGGGTTAGCACCTAGGTTAGGGTCTGCGCTAAATTCGGGCATACACTCCATGTGTTATTGTGTTTAGTTCATCGATAGAATATTTTTTCTAAAATTAATTTGATTGTCAAATTAATTAATTATATATGTCGAGAGATAGATTAATTAATTATTGAAAATTAGTTTTTACCTTGTCTATGAGGAAATCCTTTAATAAGAGAAATTTACCTAAATAGGACTAAAATATAATAACTTTCCCAATATAAAACCATATGTTTTTATTTTCCAATGTAGGACTTTTGGTCATTATCATTTAGTCATTATTCAAGTAAATGTCCATCATTATTAGACATTATTCCTCCCACTACACATTATTAAGTCCTATTTAGGGAATAAAAAAATTTAAATGCTACATTCAGAAATGACTTATGTTTTAGTCTTATTTATTGCAAATTTCTTATGGTAACTTTTAAAACATGATATTTATATACTCCCTCCGTCCCAAAAAGATTTACACGTTTCAAAAAAATTGTGCCCCACAATCCCTTACTCATTTCTATTAAAAAAACCACTTTTACCTCTTACCTTTACAAACCCTACCTATCACATCATACTTTTTTCCTAATAATCTACACATCACATCATACTTTTACCCATCACATCAAGAGTATCTTTAGAAAGACAACACAAAATTATCCCCCCCTTAATTTGTACTTTAGTCAAAACGTACCCATCTTTATGGGACGGAGGGAGTATTTGATAAATTTAGACTAATTTATTTTATATTACAAAAAAAATATTTATTTAAATTCGTTTAATTTATATTTCATTCATTTGACCATTTTAATCTAATTTTACTTCTTTAATATGCTTACTATTATTGTCACATATCATATTCAAAATTATTTGTGTGGCCCATATCCATTCTAATTTTTTTTTTTTAAGATTAAATGACATGACACAAGATGCAAATACAAAGTCCATGTCATGTTTTAAATATTTATTGATCATTTTAAGCAAATAGTTTATTATTACCTTTAGAAGTTGATATATAAATATTTGATTAGTTTAAATTAGTATATTTGATATTACAAAAATATTATGGTCTTTTGAATTGATAGAAATGAAAACTATAGATTTTCAATAAAAAGTAAGTGAATTATTCATAACAAAAGACACTAACAGTGATATAAAAGTTTTTTAAGTAAAATATGAGTTTTTTAAATTATTAATTTATTATTTTTTATGAGAATTTATTTAGCTAAAACATGGTTGTAATTTAACAAAAAAAGTGTACGTAATTGAATTGAATTTAGCTTAACAAAATTTTGACTAAACTAATATAACTAAAAGTAAGTTACACACGAAGAAATTGAGTAAATTTTAAAAATGGTTCTTTCTAATAAAGAATTTTTCCAAATTAGTTCTCAATAAGTACTAATTACCTACGTAGTCTTTTCTAATTTAATATTTTCCAAAATGGTCTTTTCTTATCACATGAGTGGTTTTAATTCTAAATGGAGTTGTATAGATTCGGTTACATTTTATTTTTCTATGTCAATATTTGTTTAGATTTTTCAAGTTCATAGATTATTCTAACATCAAAAATTGATTATAAATAGACTTAAATAATTAAAATTATAAAACACAAAAAATATCATGACTTGAAACAATTGAGTTTAAAAATACATGGATAAAATCTATTCAACTCGAAAAAAAATTAATTTTCCAAAAAAAAAACAAATGTATTCACATTTGATATGTTTCACTAAAAACTTTTTTCTTAAAAATTAAAAAAAAATCACATTTATTTTACAACTGAACTTTACTGGAATTGTCAAATGATTTTATTTTAAAAAAGTAAAAGATGACTTATAATTACAATTTTTTCACATAAAAATTTATAGCTAAATTAAGATTGTATGACTTAGGTATCCTTTATATTTAAAAATTGGATTTAAATCTCTAGAAAGGCAACATGTTGTATATATTCTTTATGTGGCGTTTTTTGAAACTTAATATGCAACATAAATTTTGACATGGAAAATAATAAAATAATAGTTTGGTTTGAAATCAATGTATGTAAATTTAATTATGGAAAAAAGATCTGCATTTATATGATAATATTCTTTCCTAACTTGTACTTTTTTTCTCTTCATTTATAACAAAATTTCAAAATAACAAATAAGATACTCTCTTCACCTCTTAACAAATTTCATGTTTGTTTATGAGATGTTTAAATGAATTTAGCTTTGATTTTATTATTTGAATATTGATGTAAAATTTTAAAATTAAAGTATTTTAAAAACTATAATAAAATTTTACTCGCTCTGTCTCAAAATAGTTTACATCTTTATTATTGCAATGTCTCAATAACTTTTGTTAGTTTGCATGTTTTCATTGATCATTTGATAAAATAAAACTTTTTTGTCACCTCTCACCTCTTATTTTATAGAACTTTTGATATAATTTTTAAATATGTAATTTTTTATTATTTTGTATACCAATTTATAAATAAAATCATTTAAAATTCATGAGATTTTGCACGTAGTTCAAATAAGAAATATACTTTGGAACGGAGGAAGTATAAAATAAGGGATGATTGAGCTATAAATTAAAAGTGTTAAATAGAGAAAACAATACTACATATGATTTGGCCATTCGATCGAGTATATTAAGTTTATGCTATGATTTAACTACTAGATAATTTAGGATTTATAATTCTTAAATGATTTATGATTTAATTTTAAAAATACATTATTTTTAATTATTTATCATTATATGATAATTTTAATTATATTATAGAATACAATTGAGAAACAAATGTGTCACCATGGCTTCTTATGTTTACACAAGCATTTCCTACTATTTCACCTTCATCGACAAATTTTAAATATGGAATAGAGATCTTCATTTTTAGTAGAGTATTCTTTCTTAATATTATATTTTTTCACTTCATTTATAAGAAAATTTGAATGAGAGAGGACTCACTTTATTTCTACATTTTCATTTGCATAATTGTACATAGAAACAACATACGATGGTGTTCAAAGAGACAGAGAGAGATGACATAGATGTATGCTAAAAAGATTGTGATGAAGAAGATAAGGATACGGAGGGAAGCGCTAGATGATCTGTGACAATGAAGATCTAAGTGTTAAGACAATCAATAAAACAATAAAAACTGCGGAGAAGATCCAAGGTGCAAAAATGAATAAGATCAAAACTTGCCACTTGGATACAAGCGCATCAGAGAGAAATATAATTTCCAATTTGAAACTATTTATATTTTGTTAAAACATTTTGTATTGATCAAAATGCTACTATGGGTTTGAATGATTTTGCATTTTAATGAAAATAATAATAAAAACTGTCAACTTTTTTGTTTGTAAATTTCCTTTAGAAACCAACCAAAAATCGAAGTAAAAAATATTACAAAAATAAGAGTCACATGTTTTTATCTACAAAATGGTACTATTGCAATATAATGTGATAATGGGACACTGTACATTGACATTTCATTGTAATTTTTGTATTATATGTTGGTTTTATTGACATTATAGTACTTATTTTGCAGATAAAAACAAAACGATTCTATTTTGATTAATTTCTTTTATTTTATTTTTATTTTAATATTTTTTTCCCTTCAAAATCATTGTAGCACCACTTTTTTCTATTAATTGTTTTTTCAAAATTGATGCAAGGGAGAAGAATTATTATATTTTAATTTTTTTCAAATTAATATTTTTAATAATAAAGTCATAGCATTGCTAATCCAAGATGTTATTTTTAAATAATGCGGTAGAGATGAATCAATTTTTGTATTCAATGCAGGGATGAGGGGAATCATTTTTTCGCTAATCTCAATTAATGTGGGGGAGAATTTTTTTTTTTTAAATCGCAGATTAATAAGATCGGTAATTCAAGTTTTTTTAAAAATTTATGCAGGGGAAAAGATTCATAGAATCACTAATGTTTTTTGTATTTTTTAATTTATACATGAAGAAAAATTATAAGTTTGTATAAATTCAATAAACCTAGAACATTTATATTTGACGTTTAAATGATATATCTTATAAAAAAGCTAAGTCATTTTAATGATCCACATTTTAGAATCCCAAACAATTTCGTTTCACCCCGTGCATAACACGGGTTAAAATCCTTTAATATAATATTTCAGATCCGGATCACCAGAGTTTGACACATGGAATTTCTACGTGGAGTTTTTTGTCACGTCAATGATGACTGTATGCATTAATTAAATCTATAATCGTTTGTAAAAAAGTATTCATATATGGTAAATTTTGAATAATCATTGACCTTTTTAAGAAAATAATTTATGGTAACTTTTAAAACTTGATATTTATATATTTGATAAATTTACACTAATATATTTGATATTACAAAAAATTAATTTCTTTAAATTCATTTCACTTATATTGGATTTATTTGACAATTTTAATCTCTTTTTACTTAATTAATATGCTCACTATTATTGTCACATATCATATTCGATATTATTTGTGTAACCCATATCCATTCTAATTTTTTTTTATTTTTTTAAGATTAAATGACATGACACAAGAAGCAAATACGGAGTCCATGTCATGTTTTAAATATTTATTGATCATTTTTAGCAAATAGTTTATTATTACCATTAGAAGTTGATATTTAAATATTTGATTAGTTTAAATCAATATATTTGATATTACAAAAATATTACTCCCTCCGTTCTAAAATTAACTTCCCGGTTTGACTTTTATAGTCAAACTTTTTAAACTTAAACCGTATATTACGGAAAAAATACATTGGATTTTCATATAATTTATTAGCAATAGATTCATTTTAAAACATAGTTTTGAAATATATATACTCCCTCCGTCCTGAAATGTTCTTCCCACTTACTATTCACACGGTCAAACTTTAATCACTTTCTTTACCTATTTTCATTAGGTATTTGATAAAATAATATAGTCTTGTCACCTCTTGTTCTGTAGAACTTTTGATGTAGTTTTTCAATATATAAATTTTATTTTTTAATTTTACACCTACAATCAAATAAATTGAATTAAAAATAAAGTCAGTTAAACTTCGTAAACAGAACCGGGAAGAACATTATAGGACGGAGGGAGTAATTTTTATAAAATATATTTATACAAAAATTGAAATATTGATGGTCAAAGTATCGCATTGAAGACCGTGAAAAGTCAAATGAAAAGTTAATTTTAGGATAGAGGGAGTATGATCTTTTGAATTCAATAAAAATCAAGTAAATGAATGAAATGAAAACTATAGATTTTCAATAAAAATTAAGTGAATTATTCATAACAAAAGACACTAACAGTGATATAAAAGTTTTTTAGGTAAAATATGATTTTTTAAGTTATTATTTTTTATGAGAATTAATTTAGCTAAAACATGGTTGTAATTCAACAAAAAATGTCTACATAATTGAATTGAATTTAGCTTAACAAAATTTTGACTAAACTGGGTTAAATTTTTTGTTTTGGTTTCGAGTTCTAGGGGTACCAAAATTTTAAGTTCATCAAAAAAGTTGCGAAATTTGACATGGATGTTTCTATTTGCATGTACAATTCTTTGTAAAAGTTTCATGTAAAAAAGACTTGTCAATAATGTCTTAATCTTTGGCTCCACAGAGTTCACATTTGAATGTGGGATCTCCAAAATCAGTTATATCTTTGGGAATAATGAAATATGATATAGACAATCTTTTAGAAATATTTGGCATTTTACACAAATGACATGCTGCATATATAATGTAAACATATCTTTAATTTCAGTTTCCCTAAATGCAAACATGTCTTTTAATTTCGCTGATGTATCTTGAGTAGACGAATCATCTACCTCGATATTTAAATTTAAAATATATGTAGTTTATGATCATCCATCATATTAAGGGTCTGTTTTTTAGAGCTTGAACTCTTAGCTTCTAGTTTCTTCTGGTTTCTTTCAGTTCTTCTAGTTCTTTCTAGTTCCTTCCAGTTTTTTCCAATTTCTTCTAATTTCTTCCAACTATATTTATTTTTCTTCAAATTCTTTCCACTTTCTGGCAAATCACTCTAAAATATATTATTATTATTATTATTATTATTATTATTATCACAACTTTTATGTTCATAACTATAGTTTATAAATTATTTCATTTTTTCAGCTCACTATGTTTATGATTTACATTCATTATTATTTTTTTTCAATTTTTTAATATGAATAATACCTTTTTTGTATATTAATCTAAAACAAAATCGTGTAATATATGGAGTATAAAATATAATTACAATATCTTGTAATATATAAAATATAGTTGCAAATATATTATTTTATAATAAATACAACATAGCCATAATAACTCTTAAGTATTTAACATTTTGATATTTATGCTAATTTTATATTCTAATTTTTTTTAAAACTAGCTTTTTACATATGAAAAATAATACTCGTAATTTTTTTTATCTTAAAAACAATCATTAGGATAACGTGATGACACCACCACCAACAACAATAATAATAATTTATAACAACAAGAATCAAAATGATAATAATATAAAACCACAAATAAAAAAAATTTAAATTTTTTTTTAGATTTTTCAATTTTTTCTTGTTCTTTCAGTTTTTCCAGTTTCTTCTAGTTTTTTCTAGTTCTTTCTAGTTCCTTCAAGTTTTTTTGCAGTTCCTTTCAGTTTCTTCCAGTTTCTTCTAGTAATTTCTAGTTCATTCAAGTTTTTTCTAGTTCCTTACGTTTCTTCCCATTCTTCAGTTTCTTCTAGTTTCTTCGAGTTTCTTCCAACATCCAGCTCTTTTTTTTCCAGTCCTAAAGAACATGCCATAAGTCAGGTAGTATATGAGTACATTGATTATAATATCATAGACGTATAATTAGTTAATACACAAAGACATTTGTCATATGATTACTTTCACGGAAAGCAATAGCACATGTTATTGAAGATAGATCAATTTTCTTTTGTGTCTTATGCAATTGAAAGCATGATGAAGTGGGTGTAGAATTGTTCTGAGATTAATGTATTGTATAAATAAATTTTTAGGAAACATTTACTGGAAATATTAAATTTTTATTTCAAAATTTATAAATGTTTGAAAATTAGTATTTTCCATTTTAAAACTATTATTTTCCATTAATATGTTTGAAAAGATTGTCAAATATGTCACTCATGAGATTAATATCAAATAAGCAAGCTTATTGTATATGCAAAAGAAGATGGTAGAATTTCACTGGAGGAAGAAAGTCGCGATCATTGGCGAAAGTTTTGGTCAATTTACGTAGAATGCATCGAGAAAAAAATCATAGAAGTGACTCAATGATGACATGGCTCATGAGGAGTTAAAAATGTTCCAATCAGCATGCTAAATGTCACGATTCTAAGAGTTCAAATCTCAAATTTTATATAATATAAAGACTAGTATTCTAACTCGTGTCACACACGGGGTCAAATGAAATTTTTGACGTTTCTGTAAATTATCTTAATGCAATATTTTAAATGAATTTATAAAAATATATGTAATGTGTTCTTTAACAATATGGAAAAATAATCATAGTAAAATAAATTGTTTAGAATTTAATATTTGGTTATGAAAATTATTATATATAAATTCAAAAGTGAAACGCCACAATGAACTTTTTAAAATTCATATTTTTATAAGAAATTCATGGTATACACTATTTTTTGTGTGGTGACAAGGATTTTCATTATATTCTAGAACTAATATTTTTAACTTTATCTTTATTTTCACCTATGATAGAGCAGCATAAAGTTGACTATGAGTGAACACGAATTTGGTTAAAAATAATTTAACAAATGAAAATGTTTGATCTTGACTTTTATTAGATAGTCATCACAAAACATAAAATTATTGAGAATTGTCTTCTCTATAACTTCAATGGTAGTCCCGTATCAGGTGCTACCAAAATTCTTTTAAGTATGTAGACCTTTTCCACTACTCGATTTCCTGACACCACAATTGCATCGATAATATTATATCGCAACTTTTCATCTATTAATTTATCTCATAAAATAATTTAAATGTTTGGTCAATGTTCCTAAATAACATAGTTGGTGTCCCTTTTTTTAAAACTTTTTTTGGATTGAGAATTCTGAACATTTGAGTTCATTAAAAAATTCGATTGACATCCATTCATCATCAGCACCTGCATCTGCTTAGCATAAAGAATCAGAATCCAAGTATTTTTTTCATAACTAGGAATGAGGCACAGAAAAAATTTATTTATCATTTAAACTACCTCGAAAATTGGTTCTAATAGTGTCCTATCCTCAATAAAAAATAATTGTTCATCTTTTCTAAATATGTTTAGACGAGTGGAGTCCATTGTACTTTTGATAGGAGAACTTGGGTCAAGAATAAAGAATTTGCGTGGAATCTCAACATCACTAACTTCATCAATCCCCAAACTTAGCTTTCTATCTCCGACTTTAATTATCTAATAAAAAGCTTGTACGTCTCTATCTGTGCAAGAGGACGTAAATGAATACACCTCATATTCTTAGTCAACATAAAATCTACAAACGATTATAATTTTGAGGAATTGACCATATCACATACAATCTCCCCCAAAGCTCTGGGTATAACTGGAAAGATCTAGAAAAATTTACAAGTACAACTATTCTCCCCTCCCCTCCCATGGTTCTTTTTTGGAGTTACCATTAGAGAACCCTATGAAATCTCTCATTGTGCGATCTAATACCTCAGAAGTAAATTTATTCATCATACATGTTTCATCCCATTAGATTAGACTTGTTGGAGTGATTCTGCTTTCCCACTCACTTGTTTGATAGCACATGTTGAGCAACAAGTTAGTGCCAACGGGATCGAGAATCTCGAATGTGTTGTCATTCCACCATGCAATAGAAATGGTGCAACGTTACTGGATGCAACATTCAAAACAACCTTACTATTAAATTATAGAGAAGTAGATAATGATTTCTAGAGAGATGTTTTTCCAATTTCTTTGTAACCATACATAAAAAAGAAACTTTCTCTTTCAACTGTCACAACTTCCATCATCTCATCGTATATCTTCTTTTAGTCTTCATTCATTATAGATAAATTTTCAGATGATAAGTTTTCTTTGTCATAGTTCAACTCCTCTACCAAGAAATTATTTTGAAATCTATTAAATAGGATGTCTTCTAGGAAATGACATATCATTGAACTCTTCTTAAGATCGTTGATTTGAATTAAGTGCCTTTTTATTCTCAATCAAACACAAATTCTTTAGATCTTCTGGAAAAATAATAAGTTCTACAAAAAAAATTTAAAATGCGACTACATGTATCAACTCATATCTCAATTCTAGAGAATCCTCAATGAGCGGGTTGGAGCCCTACCAAGAGATCCCTAGGTAGGATAATACCCTCGTACGTACATTTTAACCCAAGACTCGTGAGTTATGCGAAGCTCGCCCCACCAGACCTAAATCTTAAATCTTGATTGGTTGGTGATCCTTTAAAACTTATCAATTTGATTTTTGTCGGAACCTCCTAGGTATACCAGGTGGCCTATTTTCATAATTTCAATTCAACGCCTAATTATCCTCAATCCAATAGTTTGGAAGTTTTGGAGCAGCATTTCCCGTCGGCGAGCAGGACAAATCAACCGACATACCAGTGACTCTGGCAGCGACCAGCGGTAGAGGACCAATGGAGCAGCATCTTCTTTCACCGGCAGCAAGATCCCAGTGGCAGGAAGAACAACGCCAAGAGCAAAAATGGAACAGAGGAGGAAGATAAAGATAGAGTGGAGGAAAACAGAAAAGTGCGGAACAATTTCCCAGAGTTCAAATCCGAATTCAAGTTCTTACTTCAACTCAAATTCATAACCCCCATATCCAAATCCAATTTCAAATAATCAATTGCACAATTCAACAAGCATAATCACAAATTCAACGTCAATTGAACGACAATATATAAATAAATCCTAGTCTACGAGATTCTAACGAAAGATAATTCACTCACCTCAATCCAACTGAAGACAAATTACAATTAATTGATGAAGAAATCCCCAATTTAACTTGTGAAGAACTTCCTCCGGTGAGCTCCCTGGGTTTGGTCGGCATCCGATCGAAGAAAGAAGGGAAGGAGATAAACTAAGAGGGCTGGCGGCAACTCCATTGCCACGAAGAAGGAAGGATCGTAAATACGGAGTATATAATGCGGCGAAGAGTCCTTTTCCGTATTGGCATAGACTTAGGAAAGTTTTAGTTAGAAAAATGGTAGAGCACACCAAATGTGTACCACATTTGTCCTCCACCCCCTCCTTGTCCACAAAAAAAGGCAAGAAATTGAATATAAATAAATAAATAAAAATAAAATAAAAATGGGTGATGGAGAAGGGGTGGTATACATTTGGTGTACCCCTAGCATTGCTCTTTTAGTTATTATTACGAGTATTATATTATTAAAAATCTTTATATTTATTATTCAACTGTAACATCTATTTTCTAATAACTATTTATACATAAGTCTAAACTTGGCAAAAAAATGTGTCGTTGGTCATATTTTCACAAGACCGACCCATTGACCCAAAATTCTTTAGATAATATTATTTCTATGTCATATTTTTATTTTATTCGTTTAGTTTATAATCGTTATAATCTTGGGGTGGTCAAGTCACTAAGTTTCATAACTCAAATTCACATGCGAAATACGTCGTTGAACTCAACTCATCGAGACCTTCAATCCAAGTATAAATTTGTCCATAAAAAGATAACTTTGAAAATCACTTATTTTTATCATTGTCGTTTCTATTTTATTTTATTTAAATCAAAGTTCTTTATTAAATTCTAGGGTATATAATGCATTGGGAGTGGAAAAATGCACTGTGGCGTGGAGGGGTGCATTTACTAGCGGTTGCAAGGGCTCACACCTAATAATCGTGCTCGAGGCTGCTGCCGACAATCATATATGGATCTGACTTGTGTATTTCAGAGTCACTAGGTTGAAGAATGACATGAAAGTGTGGAGTGTCTCCTTTATTGAATGATGTGCATTGGATGTGCACCAGTCATGCAATTCATCACCAACGATTGCCGATATAACATGAGATATTATTTAATGTATGAGATCTATCCAATGTGGCTAGTGTTCGTGAAAATTATCACATGTCCGACAACTTCAAATATGACATTATTCGCAAAGAAACAAGAGTCGGCACAGGAAGATGTGGAACAGGCGTTCGTAGTCTTCCAATCGTGGTGGGCGATAGTGAAAGGTCCCACACACCCGTGGTGCCGATCGTTCATCTTGGACATTATGCATTATTGCATAACATGATAGTCGAAGATGAGGGAGACTGCATCACTTGTTTTGATGATGGGAACACATCCTCTTCTAGGGCAAGTGTCATTAAATGTTTAGCGACTCATTGTCCTCCTCCCAATTTATAAGAATTTGCACATCGACGTGCTATTATGTGCGGTGAACGAAGCCATTCTACCATCCAAGACGACCTGATCGAAGAAATTTTGAAACACAATTATGATTTCCAGCACTAAATTATCTTTTTAATATTTATATGTATTTTGTTTTTATTTTAATAAAGTGTGTCGTTGTTTATATTTTCGATGCGTGTTTTATTAAATTTAAATAAGTTTTTAAGTATCCATAATTAATTTTTTTATTAATGCTGGTAAATAATTTTTATATAAAATGAAATGTTATTTTAATATTATTTATCTATTATTATTTAATTTATGTAAGTTTTAAGAAGAATATTTTAAATTATTGGAGAAGAAGGCGAGAAGGCCATACCATTGTAGGGAGAGTGCTTCTTTGGTGTAACCTTGGGTGCATATCAATTTTGTAGACCTTCTCACATATTTTTTTTATTTAAAACAATAAATGGTCATTTAAGTAATAAAGAAATACTTATTTTACTCATATGTAAGTAAATAAAGACCTTAGGTCCACCATAAAATTGCCTTATAGGGATTATTGAGGAGAAGCTTAGGGATATGGATGACAACTAGTGTGGTTCGGGTCGGATAGTACTATACCTGAACTCAACCCAATTTTTAAACATGAAACCCGACCCCGACCCGAAACCTGACTTTTGAATAAAAAACCCGACCCAACCCGAACCCAACATTTAAACCCGAAACTCAAACCCGAATATGTAATTTAACTAATATCAGATTTGACGTAGCCCTATAATTTTAAAAGAATAAATCTGAGTTCTGTTGTCTCATTTTTTTGGTGTCTCATTTTTTATTGAAGAATTATAAAAAGAATTATAAAAGGGATACTTTGTATATTAGTACCTTGTCAAGAGAATTCCGTGGCTAGAAATGAAAACAAAACAATAAATATACCAGAGATGCGAGGAAGGAAGAGATGCAAGGAAGGAAAAACCATACAAGGAGAATGAAAAACACACAAAGATGCAATGTAAGGACAAAGTGAGAGATGCGGTTGCACCAGAAAATCGAAAAAAGAGATTATACAGAGTGCTCATTATATCCGTATATAGGGTTTTAGATTACAAAATATTTGGGTTCGGGTCGGTTAAAATTATAAACCCATACACGACCCAATGTCGGGTTCAAGTAAAAATTTTTGAGTCAAGTTAAGATTATTTTGTTTTTTATTCGAATTCGAATATTTTAGTGTTTGATCAGATCTCATGTTAGGGGGTTAAATTTCACGTATGGTACACCAAGTTTGAAGTTTATTTCACTTCGGTACACCAACTTTATTTTCTTTCAGAAAAGTACTTCAACTTAACACTTTCTTTCACTCATGGTATTTTAGCCGGTTTCTAGGTTAATACCCGGTTACCTATCCTACGTGTATGCCTACTTGGTGCACCCATTTAAATCACTCACTTCTTCTCTCTCCTCTCTCCTCTGACGCAGCATCATCCCTGTTAACCATTAAAGAAAGGCGAAAAATAATCGTTGGTGTACCAGGGACTCCCTTCTTCTACATATATAGCCCTCTTTCTTCCATCCTCTTGTCCCAATTAGAAACCTTAATTTTGAGAGAAATTTTTCGAATTTGATGTGTACCGTCTCTAGCAACAGCTCCTTCCGTCGCACATCAGTGTACTACTATAGATGCCGTGAACCTGTAGTGTGGAAGACCTCATGGACTGATTCAAATCCTGGAAGGCGATTCGTTGGGTGTCCTAATTATGGGGTAAGTGTACTGAAATTTTTGAAATTTTAAATGGATGTTCTTTGCGATTGGGATTTTGTTTGAAAAGGGTTTTTTGTTTTGGTAGACTCCCAAATTTTGTCAATTCATGGAATGGAGAGATTCGGAAGTTCATCCACGATATCGTGATATCATTCTTGGTTTACTGAGAAAGGCTGAGAATATAAGAGAAGAGAAGCCGAAGGAGAAGAGTTTATGTGGACGTCACACCTGTTTCATTTCTCTATTCTTGGTAGTGTTCATAGCTTTTTTCTTATTGTTTTGCAGTTGTAAGGGTTGTGTATGCCAAGAGTGTTATAGTAGTGGCCATTGATTTATTGAGCCAAGTGAAATGTTGTTGTGTAGTGGATTCATTGTAGAATGTTGTTGACTCACAATGTAATTCAAAAGTGATGATTGTAGAATGAATGTTGACTGATTTGTGTTTCAGTGTGGTTTTTTAAATAGCAGCAAGTTCTGTCATGTTGATTTATTTTAAAGGGTAAATTTCACGTATGGTACACCAACTTTGGGGTAAATTGCACGCATGGTATACCAACTTTGGGATAAATTTCACGCATGGTATACCAACTTTGGGATAAATTTGTTGACAAATTTCACGTATGGTACACCATCTTTTACGTTTATTTCACGTATGGTATACCAACTTTGTTTTCTAACATTTCTTGAATGAAATAAGATATACGTAGAAGACTTATGAATTAGATTGTACAAAATGCTTCATTTCACATATTGGAAGCTAACGAGTTTGTCCATTTACAAAAAGACTGCCCTTACTAGCTGTCAATCAAACAAAAACCAAAAAAGACAGCAAGCAAGGCACAAAGACTGCCCATTTACAAAAAAAAGTATGAACATAGGGCTACCAAACACCCAAATAACCACCTTCTATGTCCAGCTACCAAAATCCAAAAAACCACAACTGCAACATTGTGAATTATACTAAATTGGAGCAGGATGATCTTCTTCTGTTGGACCTGATTTGCTTCTCTTCTTTGTCTTCTCTTTCACTAGTGCTTCTTTCCTCTTTCTTGTTCTGTCTCCAGCTGTTGTTGCTTTCTTTTTACCCTTTCTCTGTCATATACACACAACCCATATTCAATGTCAAACATCTACCCACATAAATAAAAAAGTAATATTTGAGCAGACTATTTACCTTGTCTGTTGATTCTCCATTCCCTTTACTTGAGTGAGACCTTTTGTTGTGGTCAATTTCACCATAGACAGTGCATTTCATGCGCACCTTTCCTTCTTTGCTTAACCTTCCTCCTTCATTATGCTGTGAGGGACCTGCATCTTGGGTGGATGGTGCTTGGCTTGAGGATTTTCCTTTCTCAAGCTCCTCTGCTTCTTTTCTTCTTGCCTTCTACTTCTTTCCCTTTTTTTAGGTGGAGGTTATGGTGGGAGAATTGGAGGTTCAGTTTCATCACGAGGCCACATTTCCATCATATTGATAGGGTTGATATAGTGGCTATAGAGATCAATGTAGTTGGACACTAAGTACTGCTTATCAACATAGTCATCTATGTTTTCATTGTTATCAAGAATGCAAGAGATTGCATGAGAGCAAGGAATGCTAGTTAATTCCCAATGTCTACAGCTGTATGTCCAGTCAACCATATCTACCACATATTGCATACCACCTGGACCTTCCACCTGATATTTTGGTCCTCCAGAGAATGTAGGAATGTATAGATGAGCATACTCTAAATTCTCTATCAGTTTGGCTCTTATTTTGGGACATATTATGTCCTTCACATTTGTCATGGCCTTCTTTTTGGTTGACAAGCGCTTCATTAACTTACTCCTTATTATCTCAAACATTGGCGGTAATGACTTGTCTCTAGCATCCAAAATGTACTTGTTAAAAGACTCACACAGATTGTTTTGTTAACATATCACATTTGACAAATGTTTTAAGCTCTGCCCTGGACCAATTCTTTGTTGGTCTTTTGTTAAGCCACTGTCTAGCCTCTGGACACCTTTCTTCAAGCTTGCTTAGACAAGA